AGAGAAAACAAACAACAGTAACATGTCAACAAGAGAAAACAAACAACCAAACATTCAAATAATTTAAAACCTCAAAACTCAAACTGAAGCAGCTGCTGCTCAAACCATCGACGTCTGTGGAGCTGCGCTCTGGTTTTAGTGGTCGCTGTGGTTTTTGAGGTTCTGCTACTAAACGTGGGAACGTTCCTGAACAGCTGCAGGTTCTCACGTTTGTTCCCAAAGCTGAGGAGGAACAGGAGGGGAGCGGCCCGGTCTCAAAGGATTAGAACCTTCGTTAAATCTGAGTGAAGATCTGTTTCCTGTCCTCTGAAGATGATGAAGATAGATGTGAGGAAGGTTAGAGTCGATTTATTTACAAGTTCAGATTTTAAAAAATCAAGATTTTATTTTTTTCTGTTAAAATGTTCAGAAAGAAACGGAAACTCTGAGACGGAGGGAGATCAGCTTCTCCACAGAACATCGATCTATTTTTAGAAAACACTCATCCAGGAACAGGATGACACTCACACACACACATCGTGTGTGTGTGAGTGTTTTCCTTCTCTAACGAGCAGAGGAGTTGGCAGCACCTGAGCAGATGATGGACAATCTGATCCATCACTTCCTGTCATCTCATCCAGTGCACGTGCACATACTCCTGTAAATGTGCACGAGCTTGATCCAGCAGGTCCAACAGCTGATTTGCAGATAACATTTGTTTAATTTTATCATTTCTCTTTAAAGCTAATTAATTTTCTTCTTCCGGCTGCTCCTTCTTCACAGAGAACTGAGTCACATGAAGACTTAGAGATTGTTTTTATGCCGGATGTCCTTCCTGACTCGACCACAGACCACCGAGCTACCACATCTCTGTGTTGGACAGATGTCCCGGTCTCTGTGTTGGACAGATGTCCCGGTCTCTGTGTTGGACAGATGTCCCGGTCTCTGTGTTGGACAGATGTCCATGTCTGTGTAGGGATGAAGATGATGCTGTATCTGCAGCTCTTCTTCCTCTGACTTGGTGCCAGCAGGACATTTCTGTCCAGAAGACGGACGTTCACTGAACTCGGCGAGTTAATTTTAGCTGCAGAGTCCTAGCAGGAAGTCTCAGAGGACGGCGTGTGTGTTCAGAAAGGCAGCAGTCTTCAGCCCCTCTGACTGAACACTGTTTCATTAATCAGTTAATAACGAGCAGCAGGCGGAGCTCACATCTGATTAATTATTAACCACTCAGCTAACTGACTAATTAATTAACTGATTAATTGTTTAACTGAACATTAATTGAACCGATGTCGACTGTCCTGATCGTCCATCGCCATTCTGAAGCTGCTGATGCGTTTGTTGACAGACCGCGGTAATTTAACATGAAGGAAACACACACACACACACACACACACAGCTGGTTTTACGTTTTCATTCACTCCGACCTGGTTTAATACTTTCCTGATTTCTGTCTCAGTTCGTCTCTGTCCTGCATGTCTCACCTGTCCTACCACTTCCTCATCACTTCCATCTTTTACATCACAGTTTTTGAACAAATGCGTCAACAACTGGTTAGGGCAGTTTGAAGCCGAGTTATTAGCTGGTTAAAGCTGTCTAATGTAGTTACTCACTGATAAATTGTAAGTTTGAAAGTGCCTTACTAACTGGTTAAGAGCTGTTTTAAAGATGGTAATCAGCAAGTTAATGCATGAAGATGGATTACTAACTAGTTAGAACCATTTGAAGAAGGTTCAAAATGTCCTGATGCTCAATAATCCAGGTAGATAATCTAATCAGGTAGTCAGGTCCTCTGGACAGAGTCGTCTTTGCTGAAACATTTCGTCTTTTATCCAAAGGACTTCTTCAGTTTGAGGAGCTGCAATAAACTCAGTCTTATAAATAGCACCTTCTCATAGTGGATCAACCAGTTTGTTGTTGACATCCAGAACTAGCTCTTCACATGATAAAGGAGGACCATCAGCCTAACGACCAATCGTTAGTGCCCTGATGGCTGCTTGCTATTCGCAGAGAGCTGAGTGATACTAACAATAACCGCATTGTAAGAGGGGGACAGTTGAACACGGAGGCTCCGCCCCTGTTTAACGGTGGAAGCTTCTCTTCATAAAGATGGCTTCCTTCACTCCTCTCTCAAATCATCGTTCCTCTCTATCCAGGATGTGAACATCTTCATCCCTGAAAGAGTGACCGCTGGCCTGGAGATGAGTGTAGACCGCAGAATTCTGGCCTGATGATGTTGATCTTCTGTGCTGGTCCATCCTTTTGGCCAGTGGCTGTTTAGTTTCCCCGATGTAAGACTGATCACCCTCCTGACACTGAACAGCATACACAATATTACTCTGTGCCGGGGGACTGGATCTTTGAGATAAACCAGTCTGTGCCATAAAGTATTTTGGGTTTGAAAGCCATTGGGACGTCATGTTTAGAAAATAAACGTCTCAGTTTCAGGTTACTTACTAACTTAATAGACCTGTTTGAAGATGAGGTAATAACCGGTTAGAGTGTTTAAGGATTGGTTACTAACTAATTAGACTTAAATGATGATGAGTTACTGAGAATACTTGGTTGAGGATGGGTTATTAACTGGTTAGTAGTGTTCTGTCCTGCTGATGTGTTTTTGTATGTTTTCAGGTGATCTGTGTGTGTTTGCTGCTGACTGGACAAGTCTCTGCGGTGGAACTTACCTGTGAAACTTTGATCCTGCTGTCCACCAACCTGACAGGTAACTTCCTGTTTGAGCCTTCAACTTTAATGACCAAATATCAGACAGAAGTGTGAAAACAGCTAATGCTCGACTTCCTGTCTCCCTGTCGTGTATCTCAGCGAGGACATTGATGTTACTGAACCAAACGTTCACCTTCCATAACTCCTCAGGTTGGTACCAATACCTCAAACTTTGAAGATGGTCAGACGGTTTAATTGTTTAGCTGCCCTCTGATGTGAGATTTTTTTTTTACCTGTTACTAAAATGGAAAACTCAGACGGCAGAAGTAACTTTAGGTACAAAAGTTTATCTCACAAACTCCGGTTTGTCAGTTAACAGACGAATAATCCAGATCATGGATTTTCTGGAGATTCTCACTCAGAAAAACATAACAGGTCCAAAAAATTAACCCAATTCAAGAAGAATGAAGAAATTAAATCAGACCAGAAGGATGACTATTCAGAAACCAGAATGAGGTATGAAGTCCTCCACAGTGACTGAACCTTCTCCAGATCCAGGCTCAGGTTGAACAGGTTCTGTAGAGTCCAGCAGAACGGTTCCAACATGTTTTAAGGACTTTAATGCTGATCATCTGTCTCTCTGCAGGTCTGCACTGTGACCTTTCTGTGGATGGTATCGGGACATGCTGGCCTCGTAGTGCAGCTGGTGAACTGATCTCTAGACCCTGTCCTGAGCAGTTCAATGGCATCTACTACAACTCCAGCAGTGAGTACTATACAGGACCACGGGGCCTTACATGGTCCTATCAAGTACCACAAGGTAATACGGGTCCTAGTAAGTGTGCTGGGTTGTACGAGGAACCTCACATCAGAAGCTGTAGATGGTCGGGCTTGCCGTGAGCTCCATCCGTGTTCAAGACGAGGTTGTGACATCCAGACTATTAAGTTTGGATGTATTCCTGATTTAATGGTTTGTTGGATACTTGTTCCTTTCCTCAACCCTGCAGAAGTCTGAATAATTGTAGAAAGAGTGCCGGTTGGTAATATTTGAAACATTTATCTGTAGATGGATTCAACCTCTGAGAAGAGTCAATCCTCCCCTCCTAGATGGCCCACCAATAAAATCAACACATTTTTTACTTTACTTCTTAAAGAACTCAAAGAATGAAAGCTGCTGGGACAACTACTGACTAGATGTAGACTGTTTTGCATCATTAGACAGTCTCACATTCTGGACGTCCTTGTTTCCAGAGAACCATCACTGAGACTTGTGTTTGCTTCACTTGTCTTTCTCATTTCAGTGGGATATGATTACCACAAGGAGTAGACTCTTCACAGATAAACATGTTTTCATTATGCTGGCAGACATTGTGGCTTCACAAGATACATCTGAGACATTACTGTTTTTTTTTTCTCCAGGGAAACAGACAAAAATACATTTATTTTTCAGACCTAATTACATTTCAGTTATCATTGCGGTTATTCTGAGACCTGCAAACTTCCTAAAGCCAGCACAAGACAGTGTTTGGATGTCTGACAGGGTTCACCACGGACCTTTGACAGGGTTGGTGGAGAGGACGGTATGTGGAGGTTCCCTCAGACATAAAACGAGTTTTACATTTGGAAGGAACTGAAACGGGACCCCCACCAACTGAGAGTGACTGTCTTTGCAGCAACATTCCATAAAATTCTGTCCGTCCATTATCTTGTTCTGGAGTCAGGTCTCAGGGGCAGCAGCTTGATCAGGGAGGTCCAGACATCTCTTTCCAAAGCCACCTCTTCCAGCTCTTCTAGGACGACTCCTAAGATGTTTCCAGACCAGCCGAGAGATGTAGTCTCTCCAGTGTTTCCTAGGTTTTCCCCGGGGTCTCCTCCCAGTTGGCCATGCCTGTAAAACCTCCCTAAGGAGGCATCATGGGGCATCCTTACCAGATGTCTGAATCACCACAATAGGCTCCCCTCGATGTGGAGGAGCAGTAGCTGCTTTGCCATCGATGAGTGCAACTCCACTCGGCTCTCGCCCTATCTGTTCTTCTCAGGTGGAGTTGATTTGCTACTGTGACTTGTTTCCCTGCTCTGTGGGTGGGATCTTCAATGCAAAGTGGGCAGAATTGTAACAGGTTCGAGCCACTTCACCCGTTGCAGTCCTTACTTATTCTATAATCTGACTTCAGATTCATTAGCTTGTTTCAGCCCTGCTTATAAGTCCAGGTGTAGCCATCATTCATCTCCAATATCTCTCGGTAAATGCACTCATTTCTTGTGGTGCCATCCTTCAGCACAATGAGAAAGTGGAGGTTCTGATTACAGCCCGACCAATATATCGGTAGGGCCTATATTTTAGGCCAATATAGGCGTTTGGGAACCCATCACTATCGTGATAAATGTCCCATTATGAGCTGATATAAACTCTGGGAACCAGCAGTGTCCTTACTTGCAAAAGGCGTAATTGTACAATGTATCCAGAAGAGGGCACATGAAGACTACTTTGAAGTCATGGCCGCTTTACCTTTTTACTTTCACTCTCAGCACAGCTGAAGCAGGAAACAATACTGTGTAGCATATTTTGCAGAACATTATGCTGGTAACATCAAAGTTCATGCTCCATAATCCAGGTAACAAATTCAACGAAGTTAAGTCAGGTTCTCTGGACAGTTTGTTTTACTGGTAAAACGTAGCAGCTGCTTTAAAGCAGAAAAAGGTCCACGGGTGGGCTGTTGCAAGTTAAGGGTTGAAGAAGGGAATTATCCATCCGTCCGTCTGTCCTGTGAGTTGGATAACTTGAAAAGTAAGCAACACACCAACTTCCATTTTGGTGTGTGGCTTCATTTACGTGTAAGTAAGAACACTAGTGAAACTTTGGTTGCCATGTCATACATATGTGTAAACTGGCCACTCCGACCCCTAGAGAAAACTATGCTATCTAGTTTTTATGTTGCATAAAAGTGTAGATTCCTGAAATGATTGGGGTGGCCGAAGATTAATTTATGGTGGTTCAAGGCCACCATTGGCCACCCCTTGGCTCTGCGCCTGGTGGTAGATAAAATGTCTCCCTCTGCTTTACAGGATCTGTCACTCTGCTCTGTCTCCGACAAAACAAACAAACAAACAAACAAACAAAAAAACAAAAAAAAATCCCTCTGTTCTTCACAGTAACTCCTCCCCACTTGAACATCTTGCACCAAAAACATTTAGGTGTAGTTTATTGTCTGTTCATTAATCTCCAGAACTACAAACATTCAGTGTTCAAACTCCTCAGAGACGAACTCAGTCCTCAGGACAGAATGCACAGCAGCCTCGTTTCACTCAAACACATGTTTACATCTGAAAAATGTTTTTCTTCTGAGATAAGCATAAAAATAATCAAGTTCTGCAGCCCAGACATCAGTTTTCAGCTCTCATTTTCATCTTTCTCATCCTGATTCACTTCATCTTCCTCCCTCACATTCACTTCTTCACCTCCTCGTCTTCACCTCCTCCTCCTCCTCCTGTCTGGTCTTTTTCTCCATGAACAGCAGGAATTATTGCAGCGTTTCAGACTCTTCTTCATCTTGTTGCAGTCTCTGCTCTGAATGATGGCACTCAGATCCTAGGAAACACTCTGAAATTAAATAAATCCAGAATTTGTTTCAGTCCACGTTAATCCAGAGTTTGTTTTTAGTTTATTTGCTGGTTCATATTGTGGGTTTTTGTTGTGAACTTTTAGATTTGAGGGAAATGCTCAAACTCTTCTTTTCAACAGAAAGTCTCTCTGAAGGTCCCGGCCCCATGAGGCCAACAGAACTGGAAAAGGACCTGCAAGTCCTCCGGTTCTTGGCTGGGCCTTGATCTCACTCCAGTTGAACAGGGACCACTTGGCCCTTGATGTAAAACAGGTCGACAAAAAACCCTCATCACCCTCCAGAGGGAGAGTGATTTGCATGCGAGTTCAGTTTAAAGCTTTTACACATTTCAGTCTGAGTTAAGAAACTTGAACTCTGCCGGTTCACCAATCAAATGACAGACACACACACACGCACGTGCGTGTGTGTGTGTGTTAATGAGTGGGCGGTCATAAATATCCTGTGTAATTAGAGATTTATTTCTTGATCTGACTTCACAGAATGACTCATCAGTGCATGCACGTGCACGCCCAAATCCAGCTGGAGTTCTTGTCTCCCTCCACCTTCATCATCATCATCTCTTCTCCAACTCTCACTTTCTCCTGTGATGTCATCAACCCTCCAGCCTCTGATTGGCTGTTTGACAAACTGTCAGTCACAGATGGTCATTGATTTGGGCATCCGATCAGTTTTTGGATCAATGATCGACCCCCCATCCCTCCTGGGACTTGGTACCAGTTAGGCTCAGACCGCGAGGACCGGTTCTGATGTTGCCGTGGTTACAGAAGCTGGTAACAGATCACAGATGAGCGTGTGTTGATTCGTCAGTGACGAGTGTGGGAGGTTCACACTGAGATGTGTGAGAACACAACACAAACAAGTCCTGGACCTGGACTGGTCCAGTCCCACAGTGGGGCCATCAGGTCCACCTCAGACCACATCAGTCCTGCTGTCTCCAGCAGTTTACCTGATGCATTTTTTATTTTGAAGGTTCAGTTGATTTTCAGTCATTGATCTGAAGGGTCCATTTCTCAGAACAGAACTGGGTTCTAGTACCACTGGTGAAATATTTTTTCTAAAATTCTAATGGTTCTTTTAATTTTGGGTTGAGCAGCTCACAAATGAGCAGAACCATCACTGAAGTTAGTTAAACCTCCTACTGCCACCTGGTGGCCGTGAGAAGAACCACATAATCAGGTCTGAGAAGAGAAAGTAAACAAATGTTTTCTTGTGTTTGTGTTCAGATCGGGTCTACAGGGAGTGTCAGACCAACGGAACCTGGGCTCCTCGAGGAAACTACAGTCTGTGCACTGAGATCATAATCATGGTGAGACCAATTTTTCTGGTTTCAAAGGCAGGTAAATCTGACAATCATCAACATAAAATCGAGCCCTGTGGGACCCCACAGAAAGAGGCATTGAAGCGGATACATTATTACAAACCCTCACTAACGCTGTTTCTGTGCTGTGAAGTTAAAACCAGAATGAAAGATCTCAAAAATTCTGTTATCATTCAAAAACTCAATTGAATAAAAACTATTTTTTCTACAGGATTTTGGACAGAAAGGGAAGATTTGAGATTGGTCTGAAATTTGAGCAAGTCAAAGGGTCAAGTCCAGGTTTCTTAATTAATGGATTAACTACTGCATGTTTGAAAACATTGGGGACCACACTTGTCACAATACTGCTATTTATAATAGTAAGAACACTGGGTCCAGTTGTGGGTAAAACTTGTTTCAAAAACAACGTAGAGATCGGGTCAGCGGGGGAACCAAAGGGTTTCATCTGACTAGGTTTCAGATTAAATCGTTTTTTGATCAGAAACATTTTGCACAAGGTTAAATGAATGAATCAGATTTAGAAACTCCTGAGCCAAAGGCTTTTCAGGGCAGTAGACGTGTACATTGAAATCCCCCACAATTAAAACATGGTCATATTTGAGCAGTATTCCAGTCAGAAAGTCAAAGTTTGCTTATAAAGTATTTGTTATACTTGGGTGGTCTGTAAATCACAGCGCACAGTAACGGGTTGGAGCAGGCCAGCTCAAAATACAGCATTTCAAAACTCAGAAAAGTTGTTGCCTGTAGCTGTCTGTAGTTCTAGAGTTTTTTAAAAACTGTTAATAAGTCACCACCCCTACCAGATGTCCTTGGAGCATTAAAAAAAAAAGAACAATCCACTGGCAAAAGTTCAGAAAAAACACTTAACTCACCAGGGAAGAGCCAGGTCTCTGTAACAAACATGAAGTCCAATCCACTGGAGAAGAAAGTCATTTAAGATGAAGGCTTTATTTGCCAGCGACCTCACATTTAGCCGTGCAATCCTGGACCTGTAGCTGAAGGAAAAGTTGAGCATAGAACACAGATCAGCGGTTTCAGGTTACTGGAATTGGACCCACGCCTCCTAGGACAGGAGACATCGCAGCTGCTCGCACGCCCACTGCGTGGATCAGGCCCAACCACCAGGATCAGGCAGGACTCAGCAGGATCAGCGAAGCACCCGGACAGGTGATTTTCCAGCTGATGGTCGGCAGGAGATGATGGAGCAGACAGTCCCATGTTGGTTTTAATCCTCTGGAGATGGCTGGAGTCCCTGAGACTGCACATGCCTGGCCCAACCATCCTTATCAGGTAGGACTCAACAGGATCAACGAAGCATCCCGATGGATTATTTACCATCTGATGTCAGCATAAGATGATGAAGCAGCAGAGTGCGCAATGCTGGCTTTGATCCTCACGAGATGGCCAGCACATCTTCCACGGCACCTGGAGAAATGTTTTTGGGCAGATAGAAACGCCGCGCATCGCAGGTAATGGGTATGTCAACAAGTAGCAGGGGTGGGAGGTCCAGAGTCCCGGTCATATTGGTTGAACAAGGTGAGATTGGCGGCAGATAATTGTAGATTTAAAAGTTGTAGATGATCATAAACCAACATTGAGTTGGTGTCACAGAAGAAAAATGACAAAAACAGAAGAAAAAAAATCCCATCACAACAGAGGTGAACGGCAAGCCACAAACACCGGCGCCATCTTCCCAGAAGTCTGAGTCCAACTAGAAAGAGTCAACAAACAGCTGAGACCAACAGAGAACCAGAAGGCAGCAGAAACATCTCAAATCTGAACCTGAGGAGAACCGGGCAACGCAACAAAACATGAACCTGAAGACAACCAGGCAACGCAACAAAACCTGAACCATTCTAGAAAATAAATTTGAGGAGTGACTCGTTGAAAGAGCTGAAGAGTTTTGGTTGGATCCAAAGTGTATATGAAGTTGTAAGGGGACTTCCAACACAATGTAGATCAGGGCTGTTCAACTAAATTGTTCAGGGGGCCACAGTTACTGAAAGCCAAGAGCTCGGAGACCGGACATCCAGCAATTATTGTCATTAAGTTTGTTTTAGGGCTTAAAATCTATCTATATATATATGTATTTTAAATGAACCCATTGGTGGGCCGAACTGAGCTCCCCCGTGGACCTGATTTGGCCCCCGAGCTGCCAGTTGAATAGCCTTGCTGTAGACCAACGAACATCTGTGCACGTTTGTTCAAAGTTCCTTAAAGTATGAAAACATTTTCCATCCATTATCTTTTACCTACTTCTTCCTTTTTGGGTCGTGGGGGTCACTGGTGCCCATGTCCAGTCATCACTGTGCGAGAGGCAGGGGACACCCTGGACAGGTCACAAGTCCTGAAAACATTTTTTAAACATAAATTTCTTGTGCGTTTCTCTGTAAACTATAATGTCAAACAAAATAGTAATGAGTCCCCGAGGCTCAATGGGATTAACTTGTCTAAATAAAGGTTGAATGTGTGTTTGGCTAATTATGTCTTTGTTGTAAAAATGCTTTTTGGCAATAAACCTAAACCGTTAAATCTTTTATTTCCCTTAAAAAATGCTACATTTGTTAGGTGTGGACAATGGTTAGTGCTGACAGTCAGGTGTCTGATATTCATTACCTGTGAGCAACCAGCCATGATTTCATATCTCCCCAATAACGGCTGACAACAACATTAATGACTGTGTGGGTCTATGTTGAGGAAACGTTAGGGTTCAATTGACAAAACACCCAAAGCTAAAGCTACCATGAAGTGGAAACAACTGAAACACCAGTGTCCCTGTTCACCTTGAAGCCAGTTCTGCATCACCATAACCTAAGAGGACCAAGAAAGACCCTTGGACTGAAACCTGCAACTGTCCACATGGACAAGACAAATGTCCTGGAGAAAGGTTTGATGGTCAGATGAGACGAGAATGAGGTTTGTGTGGACACAATACCAAGAAGGGTGGAGGACTCGAGGTGGAACATTCAGACGGAAAAACATTGTATCACCTGTCAAGTCATGCTGTGGCACAAGATACGTGGAATGATGAACTACCTCCAAATTTATTACCTTCACCTGAAATCAACAGCAAAACAGTTAAAACTTGTCCCCAGTTAGCTGTTCCAATGTGACAATGAGCCTAAACACACGAGGACTGGTTTCTGATTGGATAAAGAATCAGAACTGGTTTATGACTGGATAAAGAATCAAAACTGGTTTCTGACTGGATAAAGAATCAAAACTGGTTTCTGATTGGATAAAGAATACAAACTGGTTTCTGATTGGATAAATAATACAAACTGGTTTCTGATTGGATAAAAAATACAAACTGGTTTCTGATTGGATAAAAAAATCAGAACTTGTTTTTGTTTGGATATAGAATCAGAACTTTTCTGATTGGATAAAAATTCAGAACTGGTTTCTGAATGGATAAAGAATCAGAACTGGTTTCTGACTGGATAGAGAATCAGAAATGGTTTCTGATTGGATAGAGAATCAGAACTGGTTTCTGATTGGATAAAGAATACAAACTGGTTTCTGATTGGATAAAAAATCAGAACTGGTTTTTGTTTGGATATAGAATCAGAACTTTTCTGATTGGATAAAAATTCATAACTGGTATCTGATTGGATAGAGAATCAGAACCGGTTTCTGATTGGA